TAGACCTGGTTCTGTTCCCTTAGACCTGGTTCTGTTCTGTTAAGACAAGTTCTGTTCTGTTAGACCTGGTTCTGTTCTGTTAGACCTGGTTCTGTTCTGTTAAGACAAGTTCTGTTCTGTTAGACCTGGTTCTGTTCTGTTAGACCTGGTTCTGTTCTGTTAAGACAAGTTCTGTTCCGTTAGACCTGGTTCTGTTCTGTTAAACCTGGTTCTGTTCTGTTAGACCAGATTCTGTTCTGTTAGGACAAGTTCTGTTCTGTTAGACCTGGTTCTGTTCTTTTAGGACCGGTTCTGTTATTTTAGACCTGGTTCTGTTCTGTTAGGCCCGGTCCAATTAAGCAGGGAGTTAAATCCCACCCCCAGACCCACATTGCCCCCCCTCTTCTGTGTTGGTGGTTGTGGTTCTGACCCGGTTCTGGCCTACCTTGGCGGCGCTGCGGAGGTGGTCATAGTAGACCTCTTCTATGGCCTGGAAGTAGATCACGCCCTTCAGCTTGGTCTCATGTTTGTCTGCAGAGAGAGAATCAGCTTTGGTCAAAGGCGGGTCGGTTCTGATCCGTTCTGACAGCATCCCAGCCGAGCGAGCCCACCCCCCTCCTCGCACGTCACCTGGAAGGCGGCGTGTGGATCCACGGGAAGCGCTCATTAGGCGCGGCGGCGGCCCGTCTTTGATCATGACCCATTAGCGACGCGTGATGATGGATGATGAAGGCGGTTCTGCTCCTCTCTGCTGCCTCATTGTGTTTTCACACTCGCCTGCCTTCTTACGCCGCTCTGCCTCACCATTGCAGGTGGTTTCATCAGCCTCTGCAGAGCCGCAGTCAGGAACCGGTGGGGAACTCGGCAGCCGCTCTACCTCCAGGCAGAAAAACACTCCGGCAGCAGCAGCAGGTGGAGGAGCAGCGCCTTCATTTCCAGGAACAACAGGCAGGCGGCCTGCAAACAGCCTGCAGGCTGACGCACCTTCGCATCTAAATTAGCGCCGCTGGTTCCTGCTGATCACCTCGTTACGCTGCGTTCAAGGTCAGCGGCCCTGGCTCCGCATCACAATGAGCCGCTTAGAACACCTCCTGCTCTGCCGCCTTTAAACAAGGTGCCGCTTTAAGCAGTTTTAAACAGAACCGTCGGTTGACTTTAAAGGACCGACAGCGAGCGGGTCGCCCAGCTCGAGGAACAGCGGCGACCGGTTCAGACCGTCTCTGGAACGCCGCTCTGTTGCTACAACGTTAAAGGTTCCTCCAGAGGTCGGCCATGGAGGAGCAGCTAACATCCAGTTCTGATGGATCCACGTTTAGATCATAGATCATTAAAAGTCTGATAAACTGATCCGACCCGCTTTCTGACCCGTTCTGAGACACTGATGGCGTTTCGTATACTTTCGTATTTCTAATGGATCCAGCTCCAGATGCTGAGGGAACCTATAGACATTATATACTTAGTCGCTTCGTTGGACGCCGTCGGCAGCGAGGCCAAAGTGCCTAGTGGGCGGCCATCTTGGATCGGACCACAGTTAAGATAGCTGCTGTCAGAATGAATAGAAGGCGCCTTAGATCTCATTTTAATCACATGAAACAATAAAATTAATTCTAATATATATATATATATATATATATATATATATATATATATATATATTTTTATGACACACATTAAATGATGAAAGAACAAATGTTCAGATATGCATAAATAATGATAAAAGAAAAGTTTAATAAATGAGTTTTGGCAAAAGGACAAAAAGTCTTTAGATAGATACAACAGAAATTTACCACTCACTACGATTTTACAACAAAGTCTTGACAATGACAAAAAATAAATAAAAATGAACATAAAATTAACCCCAAAAAAACTTTACTCTCTTTTGTAAATCACAACAAATTTTCCTCTATAGATCATTAATAATACTCATTTTCAAACAGCAATCCTGAAAATTCTGAATAATAATAATAATAATAAACTATATAATTTTATAACACAATAATATAAAACTTTGTGTTTATCATATTGGTATTTAATAGCAAACTATATAACTTTCCATATGTCTCATCCAGTTTAAATTCAGTTTTAATAGTTTTTAATCTGAATAAGTATGTGTGTAATCTAACTAAAAGCTTATTTTAAAGTTTGTTACGGTCTTTTAAGGGGTTGTGACATTTAAGAGACTATTGTAATATCTCTGACTCGTCTTCTTCTTCTCTAGTCTCTAGAGACTCTAATGTACTTATCTTCTTGCTCAGTTGTGCAACGCTGCCCCCCACTTATTTTTCTACTGTGGTTAGAGCCTGTTTGTGCTGTCCTCTGAAGGGAGTAGTACACACCGTTGTAGGAAATCTTCAATTTCTTAGCAATTTCTCGCATGGAATAGCCTTCATTTCTAAGAACAAGAATAGACTGTCGAGTTTCAGATGAAAGTTCTCTTTTTCTGGCCATTTTGAGCGTTTAATTGACCCCACAAATGTGATGCTCCAGAAACTCAATCTGCTCAAAGGAAGGTCAGTTTTGTAGCTTCTGTAACGAGCTAAACTGTTTTCAGATGTGTGAACATGATTGCACAAGGGTTTTCTAATCATCAATTAGCCTCTGAGCCAATGAGCAAACACATTGTACCATTAGAACACTGGAGTGATAGTTGCTGGAAATTAAAATTGACGCCTAGCATATGTAGCTAATAGCAGCATTAGCGCTACGTGTTTTAACGACAGTGTCGGTGACATCTACCCAGGTTATCTATGCTGAAGCTGACAGGAAGATCCAAAGCAGTGAATCTGTGTTTGATTCTCTGCAGTTAAAGCATTCTGATTTTTTTCCTGGTTGAAATTGAATTTAAAAGTGAAGGATTTCAGTTTCAGGCCCTTAGATTGAGTCGTACCAATGTAGTAGGAGAAGGTCCTCTTGAGGCGGTCGAACACGAACCAGCGTTTCTTCCAGGATTTGATCTTTCCTCCCATCTTCACCAGGTAGCCCTTACACATCTTCTCCGTGAGGATGACGTGGTAGCACGTCTCCACGCTGTGGCCCGATGACTCCACATGCGAGCGCAGGTCAAACTCCTCCCTCCTGATGGGCAGGTAGCGGGTCATCGGACGAGCCTGGGCACAAAACAAATACATGAATCCTTTGGATCCGGAACGTTCCAGCAGGTTCAATAGAACAGGTCAGACTAGAATGGCCTCAGAGGCGCCCTTCGTCTAATCTGATTGAACGTGTTTTTCCAGATGTGCACATCTGGACCCATGCAGACCCGTTTCCCGTTACTGACCTGAGAAAAGTTCTTGGACCTCATCTTGACCTCCTTCTCCACCAGCTGCTGTCTGTGAAACGCTTCATCCTGCAGCCTTTTCTCCGCCTCCTCCCTCCTCCTCCTCTCCTCCTCCAGCATCTGACGGCGGGCCAGGCTCTCGCGTTCCTGTATCGGCGGGGGGGGGGTCCTTCATTAAATATTGTTTTGATCTTTGGAGCAGCTCTGCAGCACATATCAGACCTTTTCATCCATATATTTATGGACAGGCTCCCTGCTGGAGCCGCCCAGAGGCTGGCAGCTGAAACAGCATCAGGAGCTGAAATGGCGTACAGAAGCTACCAGCTGGACACATTTCAAAATGACCCACTGGGTTTGCTTCAGGAGCTCAGTGGTTAGACCGCATGACCCATGTACAGAGGCCCTAGTCCTCAACGTGGGCGAATCCGAATTGCCGCATGTCTCTCCCCCTGTCTTATAACCCTTTTCCTGTCAGCCTACTTTCCAATAAGGAGACACTAGTGCCGCAAACACCTAAAAAAAAAATAATAAAAAATGGCCGACTACGGCCGCATGGAAGGAAGGACAAATGAGAGCGAAATCTCTGGTGGCCTTCTAGTCTCTAGTCTTCACAGGAGTGAAACACCTGACTGTTCCCATGAAGCAGAACATGGTTCATGGTTTTTATCACTTCTACAAAAATCTCTTAATTTAAAGGAAAATCTGATCATATTCAGATTACAAACTTCTAAAAGTACTTTAAATATAAAATTATTCCATCCTGTTCAATAAATGATCAGTGTTTTTAATTCACAGTAATTTTCATGTGAATGTGCTTTACTGGAGGCATCCATGTTTGTCAAAGAACACTACTGCCACCTACTGGTTTGTGACGTCACGGTGCGGTATCGGCTGTTGATCAAGTCCCAGTGCTGTATCTGGTGTTTGTCACAACACGCTATTATCCAAGTCATCTTGAAAACATTCTTCTTCCAAATGTTGGATATATATTACGGGTAAAGCGGGGAGAATGGCTCTGGCTTACCGCACCGTGACGTCACTGCTGGAACATGGCAGGAGTGAGGTGTTACTATATTTGGGCAGAAATGGATGCTTTAGGTTAGTGATTGTGATTATTTTTTTTTTTTTTACTAATTAAAGCTAAATTCATTAAATCACAGTGAATGTATTAGTTTTAGGTATAATTAATCCATTGATTATTCCTTTTCCTTTAGGCCTCCAGGCGGGAATCTCTGCAGCTCCTCCAGAGCTACCATGGTCCTCTGCTCCAGCGCAGTTTCTGCTTTCAGTGCATCTTACGTTTAGGGCGACTATAAAAGTAAAAGATTTCCCTCTCAGATAGTGTCAGAATGCCACATTTTAGCTTCATAAAAAAAAAAAAAAAGAAATTGCACCACAAATGGAGGGGTAGTGAGTAAAAAGGGGTGGGTGAGTAAAGGATGCAGAACACAAAATGCACGACGCACATTTCAGATTTGTATTTTCAAATGAGTGAATAATTCTCCATTGAGTAATGAGTGAATGAAGCAGGGGCTCTGTCTAAGGCAGGGGTGCTGAAGTTCAGTCCTCCAGAGCTACTATCCTGCAACTTTTTCATGCAACCATTTTTAACACACCTGAATCAAATGAGTGGCTCCTTATCACGTCTCTGCTGAGCTGAATGAGGGGAATGAGGATTTAGATTCAAGTGTGCCAGAGAAGAGATGCATCTAAAAGTTACAGGATGGTAGCTCTTTGGGACTGGACTAAGGTGTCCACCAGGACGGCGTCGGGTCAGACTCATCCCACTGAGCTTCTCCTTCAGAGCACAGATGAACCAGAGGGACTGGAATCATTGATGGGAACACATCACTCACTCATCAGTCACTGAGGACCGATTGGGTCTTACCCGCGACTCGATGAGTCGAGCTTTCTCCAGCTGCGCCTCCTTCAGCATTTTCTCCATCTCCTCGATCTTCAGCACGTCTGCTCCTCCGATGCTGCTGGCAGACAGACACCGTTACCACGGCAATCAGCGCCTCACATCCTGACCACCAACTACTGCAGGGTTCAGGATGTCCACAGTGTGTGTGCAGAAATATTCTCACTCCAAACAGATCAGAACAAATCTTTAACAGCGCTGGAATTACAGCAATAAATCTGCTCCTTTCATCACCGACGGGGGGTGGGGGGGGTATTGATCAGCCGGACGTTATGAGGCCGCTCATTTATCAGGGAGCTTCGTCTCCACCTCTCTGCCTCTGGGAGGGGTTCAGATATTAGCCTGTAGCTTTGGTTCTGCATGCGGCTAACCTGTCGGCCTGGAGGGATCCGTGTTACCAAAGATAAATAATGCAATAAATAAAGAAAGAACTGACCGGTTCTAGCAGCCAGTCGGGGTATTGCAGGTTAAAGCTTCGCAGCTACGATGTTTTCATTAAACTGATTTTCCATTAATAGCATGTGGAGTGATGCATAAATGAGAAATAACTGTATATAACAATTTAAAATCTAATTTTGGAGCTACTTTCCTTCTGAACAGATTAGCTTAGCGTTTAGGTGAACATCAGAGACATGGAAACGTACAACGCCTCGTTGGACGCTGGCTTGTACTCTGACATAAGGAAAACGTATCTAGGGTAGTGTTTTACCCTTATAATGTCATTTAAAACGGGATTAGCTAACAATAGTCAAAATAACGAGAAAAAAAAAATAATTAGAATGGTAGGAACATCAGGAGAACATCCATCCAGTCAGTGGCAGAACCCTTTCAGTCCTGCAATGTTCTATGGATTGTTAATTTTAAATTAAGGCTGATGATATCTAGAGGATTAAGCCAAAATAATATGACAAAAAAAAAGTACAAATTACAAAAATACATTTTAAATTTTAGGGATATATTTTATATGATCAGGTTTAAGTCCCTCTGAATGCTTTTCTGAGTCTAACAGCAGATCCTCCCCATCCAACATGGCGGACGCTGTAACTGATGGCAGCACAAGGCCAACCCACCCACCCGATCCGTCCCGGAAGCACGATGCAAAACCAGATAGTCATTAGGGTACTAAAATTACTAATTTCTAGCCTTAACTCACCAAAGAATGTTCATACGCATCTTTTAAAAATGTTTTGTGACTTTTCTGAGACTATTTTTATGCTTTATTTTATGCTTACTTTGCATTTTCTTCATTAAACGTTAATCTCTGACGTCATCATAGGACATGCTCAGAGCAGTCCGGCAAAATATGATTAAACCATGTTTATCTACATTTTAGTTGTTTCTTTATTTAGGCTATGCACTATATAACATAATGTTAGCACGAAAGGAAAACATAAAACTCAAAAGAACTAGATTTATGTTTAAATCCAAAGAGGAAAAAGTTAGCTCCGGGAAGTAGCGTAGGATCCCATTTCCTGAACAGATCGGGAAAAGACGAGTGGTAAGACAGGATTTTAAGGCATTTATTTTCTCAGGAAATAAAATAATAACCTTTAAAATATTATATTTTAGTACGGTTTCTAATTTTTTTTTTTGGGGGGGGGCGGGACGTAATTTACGACTTTTTTTACTAAATAAAATAGAGGGCGACCCGGATGTATATCTGGATGCGCATTCGCAAATGAGCTGCTGGCACGTACGACGGATCGGGTAGTGACACTCTGCATCCATGTCTATGGTTAGCATAGTTAGCATTAGCATTGGCAGACATGGCAACTGGCTAGCAAACACTACAGGATGAAAGCAGGTGAACGTGAGTGCACCACCTAGTGGCGGGGAGGAGTTATCCCCTTTAAATGCAGTAAAGCCAGCTGGGCTTCCGTAGACAGAAACCAGTTCAGCCACTGGTATCCCATCATTCTTGACTGGGACTGGGCAGTTTAATGTGTCTGCCTCCATATCTGAGGGACATAGATCTACTATGTCTAGACGGGGTTTCATTTGTTTCTGCTAACTTATATTCCTTTCAAAAACATTTTTCAAACATCTTGAAAAAAAGACAAAAAGAGTCGAACGGATGTTTTGAAAGGGTTCCTGACACCAAGTCTAGACGGTTTCCGTCTTCTTACCCACCCGGACATGTTGTCAGGCGAGCAGGCCGAGTTGTTCCCGGTGGACACGCTGGTGTCCATGCTGTCGGAGCTCTCCAGGCTCAGCGTGTCGTAGGGCGGCTCGCCGCCTGACTGCGGGTGGTGGTGCAGGATGGAGTGGTGCACCAGTGTCGGGGGGCCGGAGGAGCTGTGACTCAGAGCGGGACTGCCGGCCATGACGGGGGAGTAAGAGGTGGAGGAGGGGGTCAGGAGGTGCGGCTGGGAGCCGTGGAGCGCCTCCCACTGGCACTGAGCCTCGGCGGCAGCTCTCTGTTTGAGCTCAGCCAGGCGGCGGCGCTGCTCCTCGATCACCTGCTGACCTGAGAGGAAGAGGAGGGTAGGATGAGTCTCAGATGGAGAAGAACAAAGAGCTAACATTCAGAACAATTACATTAAATCTATAGAGGGAATCCTCATCCAGTCTTGTAACCGGGGGGGATTTATCATTAAGCAATACCAGGCAGTTGCCTAGGGCCCCAAGTTTCAAACAGACAGCAGCAAACTATTTCAAAACAAACCATGCAAAGAGCAGTGTTGCTAACTTAGCGCTTTAGTCGCTATATTTAGCCACTTTTCAGACCCCTCTAGCACTTTGATTTCTAAAAAGCTCCTAGCGCCAAATCCAGCGACGTTTTTCTGCTACTGGAGACTTTGGAGACAACATCTAAAAGCAGCGAACTCTGCTCTCCAGAGCGAGTAGATTGGTAACCCCGCCTCCTGCTCTCCTCTATCTTGTCTGCTGTCATGATTCATGCAGCTATTATTTCATCCAAATGAAAAATGGAGAACAGATAAGCAGATCATGGCTTGTCTACAGTGAAAAGAAGGACTGGGTTATTTACTTTGGCCTTTTTGGAAACACAGGAAGGAGCAATCAGCTAAGTGAGCTTAGTGCTTGGAAAAAATCTTTCATTCCTTTAGAGACAGCATGAAAAGTCAGCTGAGTACAAAACATAGAGAGGAAAACAAGAAGGAAAGGGACAAGAAGAGAGGGACACAACCTAGAACAGATAATGGATGTCTATTCTATTAACATTTCTCTATCTGTAGAATGGGGCTGTTTGATGTGTTGTCTTCTCCATTCAGAGGGCCCCCTGCCTGTCTTTGCCTAGGGTCCCACATTTCTTAAATCCGCCCCTGCTTGTAGCAGAGAGGATGTTCTGCAAATGGGAATTTGAAAAACTACGTTTTGAGCAACTTTGCTGTTTTTTTAGATTTTATTTTTTTAAACTAATTTATTTCATATTTTATTTAATGCATATTTTATTTTATTTTCAATGTTTTAACTGATTTTCTTTTTTTAAAATGTCTCTTTTAAATGACTTTTTTAATGAATATCCCAGATAATAATCAATCCAAACTTTCACTCATGACCAATAAAAACGATGAATCTATCGTCCAGCAGACCGACAGAAATGTGTCTTCAGAGGAAAGCCGGACTCAGAAGTCAGACTTGTAAAGAATGAAATCCATAAATCTATAAAAACAAAAAAAACTTTTTCAATTAAAAGTTTGAAAAGTTTTACTTCTCGATTGTGTTTTTTTTTTCTCCAAATTTATATTTATATAACATGTTCTTTGCAACAATAATGGAACAAATTTCCCTCCATATTGGTCTGGTTGGAAGGGATCCGCTGTGTCCGGAACGCCAGAGCCTACAGATCAAATCCATCCACCATTTTCTAGCCGTGTTCTCAGCCTCACAAGCTGTGGGTCCATCAGCAAAGCCTTAGTCTGTCAGCATGCTTTATTCTGCAGGATCCATGGTAGGAAGATGAAAAGATGCTTTTATTTGATGAGAGAAGAGTTAACGACCCGCCACACAGATGAAGGCAGGGTCTGAAATGAACAGTGGTGCCTTCTAAATGTTCCCTCTGATGGTGGCATCGTTCCACCGTGATGGAGCTCCTTACCTTTCTGCTGCAGAGCCAGCTGCCTCTTGGTCTCGATGTCCTGAAGAGTCGCCGCCAGGTTCCTGGGCAGGCTGCCGGTGCTGCTGGCTGCCAGCAGGGGGCCCTGCTGAGTCAGACAAAGCAGGGAAATACATGAAGCCTTTGGAAGAAGATCTGTCCTCTTGGAGCAGTCAGTGACCCGCCAGCGTACCTTGGAGCTCGTGTTGCGCCCCAGCGTCGCTGCGCCGTGCTGCAGGGGGGACGAGGAGCCAGACTTGGACGGACGAAGAGGAACGCCGGGATCGCTGTCGAGCTTAGAGCGAAACACCTGAGAGGAACAGAGGAGCAGGAATCAGAGGCATGAGATGGCGAATGGACAGGAACACCGACACAGAATGGAGAAACAGTCCATGTAAAGATCGACAGACAGGACAGGATGGAACCAACACGGGGGGCGTGGGCTCCAGATGGCCCCCAGAGGGCCACATGAGGGCCCAGCAGCCTGCTCTATCACTAACACCCGCTGAACTGGACCTGAAGCCTGATTTATTGCTCCTCTTTTTTTTTTCTATTGCCGGTTTATTTATACAGAATTGTATGGAGTGCATTTTCTTCCATCATTTTTTCCCAAAATCACATTCTGCCATTTAAAATGTGAAAAAATCCAATTTCTTCTGGGAGACTCTGATCAGTAAAATGTAAAATTTGAAAATAATGAATTTCTTAAACAGAATCTGAAAAACTAAAATAAAAACAAAAACAATCTATATATAAAGTCTCCAAATAAAAAATTGACCAAACAAATAAAAACAAAAACAATTGGAGTAAACGGTAAAAACAGTCCAAACCTTTTTTTTCTATTCTAGCATTTCATTTCTGAATTGTATTTATTTCTCACGATTTCCATTTTTAAAACGTGTTCTTTGCAACAGTAATGGAACAAAATGTAGTTTGAAAATGAAAATAAATTAAAACAAAATACAGAATATGTTAATTTAACAGTGGACTGGAGAGTCTAAAAGGTAGAGCTGCCAGCTAATCGCAGGACTCCATCATTATGGATCGGCTCTCAGTTTGACTAAAGGGCTTTTTATCCTCCCGCAGCAATGTGTCGCAGGTATGACGCAGATATTTTAGATTTATGCCCAATTTAGAAGCGTGGTCTGCGCTATGTTATTCCCCACTACAACGCCAGAGGGAGAATCACCAACTAGCTAGGATTGTGGGCGTCTGTGTGTCGGTTTAATGAGCTTGTTCGCTGTCTGCAACCCCTCATCCAACGCCAGACGACACACAGATCACCCGTGAGCGTTCCCCAAAGACTGGCCGTGGCGCTGCATGTTTTGGCTTCAAAAGAGAGCTAAGAACTA